AAACTATACAAACAGTCCCAAATAAATTTGTATTTGTGAATTTGCCATTCAAGGGAGATGACGTACAATAAATCATCAAACGAAGAGTGAATAAAGTTATCAAGGGTACTTATTATGCTACAAAACTCGTCTTTCTTTACACTACTAACCAAGCGCGTGCTTCAACAATCTGGGGAAAAACTCGTTACCAATCATTGACACTTCAAACCGCGTATATCAAATTGAGTGTATTTGCCGAAGCAAATGCATGGGTTATACAGAAATGCGATTATCTACTCACATGATCGAACACTTGCAGAGTTATTGATGAAAACAGCTGAAGTGAAAGTACCAATATGTTCAATGACGAAAACGCATCTTGTGGACTATGGAAATGATACTGACACGCTGTCAAGCCATTCACAGTTGTCAAAGTGCAGACAATCAAACAGAAAGATGCTTGACATTTCGGAGGCTTGTACAATTAGAGTTTACGGGCCAGCATTTGCGAACACAAAGAAATGGTGCGGTCACTCTGAATCTACCATGGAAACACGGTTTACTTGTTAACTGTTATTATTATTAACAGCACTTTATTCTACCTCTTATTATTACTATTATTGATTCACTTGAAACGTTTTTGTCACTACCGTTATCTTAAATCGTTTAACATCATTACTAATGTTACTATTACTACTAGTATCATCGTCCCCTTACTCCCACCGTAGGCAACATCTTCAGTACAAGTTTTGGCATAAAATAAACTCATTTCGAATTCTCCATCCATCAATCACAGATAGAATTGCGTCTTCTGGTTACTTACCATCTTCCTGAATGGTAGTCGATTTACATCTCTAGTGGTCCTTCTTTTATTGACTTGGAATTCGAATTTTCTCGTCACATGATTTACATTTTATTAGTCGGTAGACTTGGTCTATATTTAGCATGTTTGTTAATCGCCGACTGATTTACTTGAGTACCAGGCTTTAAGGAATTCCCTGACTACACTTTTGATGTTTTCTCTGAACAAAATGTCGATGTCCGAAAATATCCGCATGCATTGATATGAAACACGAATACATATCATATCTTTTCACAGTTAGTTTGCGTTCCTGGATTATGATTCGAAGGCGACGCCCACTTTGACGGATATAATGTCTGTTATAGTTCATGCAAGCATCTCAATTCATTCGATATTGTGGAAAGCGAAAAATCTAGCAAAAAAAGAAGATGAAATTAATGCCATTTACAAAATGCATTGTATGAACTGTAACAGACATTATATTCATCAAAGTGGGCGTCGCCTTCGAATCATAATCCAGGAACGCAAACTAACTGTGAAAAGATATGATATGTATTCGTGTTTCATATCAATGCATGCGGATATTTTCGGACATCGACATTTTGTTCAGAGAAAACATCAAAAGTGTAGTCAGGGAATTCCTTAAAGCCTGGTACTCAAGTAAATCAGTCGGCGATTAACAAACATGCTAAATATAGACCAAGTCTACCGACTAATAAAATGTAAATCATGTGACGAGAAAATTCGAATTCCAAGTCAATAAAAGAAGGACCACTAGAGATGTAAATCGACTACCATTCAGGAAGATGGTAAGTAACCAGAAGACGCAATTCTATCTGTGATTGATGGATGGAGAATTCGAAATGAGTTTATTTTATGCCAAAACTTGTACTGAAGATGTTGCCTACGGTGGGAGTAAGGGAACGATGGAATCTCCGCAATAAAAAGCAACCAGCTCCTCAGAGAACACAAATAATTGTAAATCTTCCACTTGAGCTACAAAAATCTCTCTTTCTAAATTCTACTTTCTTAACTTGTATTGCTTGTTTCAAAATTATTTTTTCTATTTCATGGTGTTATGTATATGTAGTTTAGCAATTCAATAAATAATTAATTATATATTAAGTGCACTTTATTTAACTACAAAATAATAATCGAAATTCTAATAAATTTCAAAAAATAAATAACTCGCCTATTTGTATAAATCATACTAGCACTATCAACTGTGCACTATGCATGTGACTTACTTATCTCCCTTCGAATAGATAGTGTATCAGTTTTTGGAGAGTTTTTGTTTTAAATGATATTTTCTCTGAATGTAAATATATCTATAAATTTGTTACTGGAACAATGGAGAAAAAGAGATGATAGTAACGCTCTGATTTTCGGAAATGTCTATCTGTATTACATATTAAAACATACGAATGGTATGATAGATAGATTGCACATTTATGCATGGATATATACATATATATATATATATAATATATGTTGAATCAGTAAAAAAATGTTAGCAAAAACAAGATCAAGTGATCCACTCGTTACGCGATATGAGATAGAAATAAAACGTGTAAAACCCAAGGTTGTTTGATATAATTACTAGCCAATCATTCCACTGACAACTGACGAAGGTAGCAGACAACCTTAGTATTGTCAATAACTTGTAACTATGTATGAAGTTGCAGACTAAGTGTTAAAGCAAGTGTGGCCCTAGTCATGTTGGATAGTTAGTTGCATGGAGTTCTATTGGGAAACCGTATTCAGTAGGATACAGCATGTTGAAGGTGAGGCAGTAACGCATCGGTATAGACACTGCGACTGTATCGTCCTGTGCCATGAATTCACAGAAGCTAGAATTTTATGGGCTGGTCATCGGATAAGGTTCTAGTGGCTGCCTAAAGGTCTACGAGCTTGCTGGCTTTGTAACCAGAAGGCCTCAGGTTCCAAACTCTTTTGGATGGTGTATACTACTGAAGAGTCCGAAAGTAGGCTGAGGAAAGTGCTGTTGTCCAGTGCTTCCTATGGCTGGTCTTCGAATAATTCTCCAACTGATGTCTGTTCATGATGAAGCCCTCCAATCAATCAAACAAAATTCATACAAAACCGATACTTGAAAATGGGTATTTATTATGAAATTTAATTAAACACCTAGGCAGTGGTAGTATTTGATCCAACAACTTTCAGATCTCTGATCCACTACTCTGTCTTTGACTTAGCTACATAACTTGATCATATGACAACAGTCATCACAAATAGCTGTCTAACCCTGTCTAGTAACCAAATAACTATGCATAACTATGCATTCTCTGTTACATAAAATCAAATAGGTCAAATTTATTCATTCCTATTTTTAAACATTAGTCTTGGAGGGATTTCATTTTTGGTTGGTTCGAGGGTTTCATCATGAGCTGACATCAGTTAGAGATTCATTGAAAAACTAACCACAGGGAGCACTGGACAACAGCTCTTTCCTCAGCCTAGTTTGGGACCCTGCAGTAGTATGCACCCGCCCAAAGGAGGTTTGAACCCATGACTTTCTGGTTACAAGGCCAGTAAACTTTTCGACCATTTAGCAGCCACTGAGACCCTATCCAATGGTCAGCCTATATATTCTAACATCTGCGAATAATTCATGACATAGTGCGCGATCAAGTCGCAATATCTTCTTCGATGAGCTACTACCTCATGATGAAATCCTCCAACCGATTAATTATTCTTAAACTATAGTATGTTCATATTCATTGAATAACATTTCATAGCGTACAGTAAGTATAGACTAATTACAACCTCAAATGTAGCTAACTCATGATGAATGCATAAATAAGGCATTTCAAAAAAAAATTATTAAGATAAATTTAATTAGACTGAAAACGAGTGAAATGCAGACCCAACTAACAATGTGGATGAACCTTGTAGTTTAACCGGTGTAGTAAGTGAGTAAGTAGGAATTCAAAGGCGGCTAGTTCATATACAAATCACTGCTACTACCATTTCGATCAATCAACATGAATTGATTCTTTACTACAAGGATGAATAATAACAAATCAACCGACAAACTCATTATGCGTACACAATTTAACAGATATACTAACTCACCTTTTACTAAAAACATTTAACACTGCCACAGATTGATATCAGTTAGAGAAGCATTAAAAACCAGCCCTGGAGTACTAGACAGCTATGTATTTCGTTAGCCTAGTTTGAGAATCCTCGGAGGTAGGCACCACTGAATCAGATCTCAGTGGTTGCCTTGTTACCGGAAGGTCTTTGATTCGAACCTCCTCTGATGGATGCATACTGCTGAAGATTCCCAAACTAGACTGACGAAACAGTTGGCTGTTTTTCAATGCTTCTCTAACTGATATCAATCCATGATCAACTCGTTAAAAATAAAAAAGAATAACGAAACTAACCCTTACAAACCAACTATAGAAATTATTATTATCACTCTACTTACCAGGATAACTGGAATACCTGTAAAATGAATAATGAATAATAAAAAAAATTGTGAATGGCGACAAGACGATGCAGAAGCTAACTGATATTCCCCCCCCCACACACACACACAGAGGGAGAGAAAGTCAGAGACGGAAAGATGGAGACGAGAAACGAAACGACAGAGTGGGAAAAAAAACCTCTAGCTGACTTTTTTTTCGGGTACTATTCTTTTTATACAACTTTATGGAGATTTTATTTTTCTTCAGGTATATATTAGAAATTATTACAGATATAAATGATGAAAGAACATTAGTGAGTATTGATAACCATAGTAACAATAGTAATAGTAATAATAATAATAATAACTGATATGTATCCTGTTCATTGTCTATCGACATAGGAATACTGACGATGCAAATGAACTCAAAAGGGAGAGTAGTGTAGTGCAGAGTTCTTGGGATTATTTGTAGAATAATGCATTGGCGATGACAGTTGACTAGTTGAATATTGTCGTTATGGAAAGTACGGCAAAACAAGAGAAAGAAGAAAGTGAATTGAAAGAAGGATAATGCAAAGTTGTTCAATAATATGTTGTCATAATATACATAAATATAATATAAGGAATTGAAATATATGACTAGGAAAAAGTATTGTTGGTGACAGCGGCGACGGTTTATAACCTGCTGTTTCATTACTATTAACATATACACATAACAGGTAATAGAATAATGTTGTATACCGTGTGGATTATAACCGTCTCCAGGACTCTTGTCTTCAGTATTCATGTACACGATGAATAGCATATTTTTGAACAACCAGGTCGACATAATAAATGACACATTAAACCACACTTTGAATCTCCGTTTGTATACTCCTTTCTTAAGATTAAGCGTGAATCAGTTGATTTTGAATGACGTTTACGCTTTATAAAGGTTGAAAATGGATTACGATAGGCTGATCTATTCTCAGATAAACGTTTTGAGCGTTGATTTGATTCTCCACTACCACCGCCGGCGGCAACTACTGCTACTTCGTCGTCTTGTGTTGACAATTGTTCTTCTTTTCGAAGTGGATTTGATTCAATATCTTGTGGTGGAACAATAATTGGAATTTCTTTTTGACGATATTGTCTATAAGAGAGTGTTGTCTGTTGGGTAAAATGTGTAAGCCATAAGAGAATCGCGAAAACAATTATTATTAGTTGCATTATATATAATTTATTTTTCAACTATTTTATTGTTAATCGTGATTCAATCAGACTTCACTTTTGACAAAATTCTCACATTTATATACACAAATGATCTGTTACTCTATCACTATTCATAATAATAATATTGGTAATAATAATAATAATAACAATAGTAATAATATTAATCCTAATAATAGTAAGCGTTGTAGTAGTAATTGACGATTATTAGTATTACAATTATAAGTAGTGTGTTGTATTTTACACAAAATACGCATATTTCATTGGTTCAAATTGTATGACTAAAATTTGATTTACTAAAATTCTATTTAGTGTACTTATTATTATTACTGTTTTGTCAGTATATCGCCTGTCCGAGTTAACGCCAAGGTATTTATCTGAACAATTGTATTGCTTTATGGATAGGATACATTTTTATGTTCGTGTAAGTGTGACTGTTTCCAAATGTCTGTGTGTACATAAGTATCTATGTATTCTGCAAGACATGTACATTGTACTAAGTATAGTTAGAGGAATAGCAGTCATTATGTAATGTACTTACGTACGTAAGTACAAACATATATATACATATATGGACATACTGGACGTACCAAAGGTTAAGGGACTCTAGTATGCCTCCATAATCATACATACCCCTATATATATATACACACACATAACACTATATAACCAACCAACTATATTATGGATATACAAGTCACTAATATTGTTGCTACAACTACAACTATTAGTGTTAGTAATATTACTATTAATATTTCTATTGTTATCAGTATATGTGAAATTGAAAACACACTTTTTCATAACTATTTCACATTTTTAACTGACCTGGGAATTATTGACTTATATAATATCAGTCTTTATATATATATAAAATTGAACAAAACACAAATTATTCAATGCTTAATTGAATTTTACATTTTCCACTCCCCCTCTCCTTTGACTGACTGGACTGAAGTTTTCGGTCTCAGGTTGACATGCCTGTTGTCTTCTTCTTCTTCTTCATATGATTTCGACGATGTCTGAACATGCAATTAAAAATAAAGTAATTGGTGGATGGGGACTAGCAGTGTTGGACTTGAAGGAGAACGTGCGTTTCGTTCTATTTGGGAGTCATCAGCTAGTGGATGTACCTGCATTCCTCAGTGAAGGATGATGATGATGTTCTCACCATTGAGACGTCGAAAATCTTAAATTCAATTAAATAATTAATATGACCCATTCCAAAAGAAGCAGGTGGCTGTCGTGGCCCAAATGGTCTAGTGAATAATACTTTGGCGTTTGAAACTATGAACACTGGGGTTTGAGCCTTAGTGGTGGGAACATCATCATCATCAATCACTGGGGAATGCAGATACCTACAGATGATGAGTCCCAAATAGAGCGAAACGAGCCTTGTCCTGGATTCCACTGCTAGTGATCATCCACCAATTAAATTCACTCATATCAACTTGATATGATTATGAGCAGTAATAGTTTGTGCTCGAAACGTCATTAGTTCATATTACTGTATAACAACACTGTGTGATATATCAAAATAAAATCTAATCCATAATGGAGTTATGCTCTATCTACCACAGTGCCCAAGTTGTTTACTTATGTAAAATTCTATCTGAACTAACGCTTTTTATGTAGGATAGGGAGATTCTGAAAAGATGTTGAAGTGGAAAAGTGTTTTATGGCACAGAAGAGCTTTCTGTACTGTTTTTTTCTTTGTATTAGCGTATTTCACCTATTTAACCTCTTTTCAGAACTGACGGGCATCACTTCTACACTACTTGTATTATTTCAACGCTGAATTAAAATCTTTAAAGCCGTTTCAGCCTGACTTAGGGCTTCGGATTCAGCCTCAAGTGGAGTTATTTTCACACTTGTATAGCATCATTGAGTGTGATTTCTTTTTGGCAGGCGACACATCGCTTCGTCAAATAGCAGGTTATTTCAGTGTAGAAAACATCTATTCACTATTAAACTAAACAGTCTACGGGTAGTTCAGAATTTGTTGAAAACTTTTGTATGCTTCTGGAAAAGGAAATTAGTCATATTCAATTATTGATTTGTAAGCATTCGATTGATTGTTTTGAGGATTTCATCATGAGCTGACATTGGTTAGAGAACCATTCAAAAACTTACAGGGAGTACTGAACGGCTGTTTAATCAGCCTGGTTTTGAACTCTTCTGCAGTACGCATCCACCACAGGGAGTTCGAAACCAGGGACTGTAGGTTGTAGGGCCAGCGAGCTTAAAGACCATTCAGAAGCCACTGAGACCCAGTTCAGTGATCAGACCATGATTTTCAACCTTTGCCAATTCACAAAATAGCGCGACCGCTAGCCAATGCCATTGCTGGCGAGTATTTGTCCTCATACCCTGATCTGCTGCACTTTGTATTAGTTTGTGGATTGACTATTTCACTACAAGACGTTTAATGGTTTTAATATTCATTATCGACAGCAATAAGTACCTCCAAATTAGTAGTCCAGAGCTGGACTAGTATCTATTAAAACACAAACAACGGAAAATTGACAACATGAAGTTTAAAAGACATTGCTATATGTTTCAAACAAGGTGAAAAGTGAATTGTTAGCTCTACCGCTATCTGTCATCAATCGAAATAGGTTAAAGCATACTTTTAAGGAGTTTAGTTAAATATAACCGACTAAGCGACCAACTGGTTTCAACATAGGACTTCGTAAATAAATGAAACAGTTCAACTCGCCACACTCCATATATCACAGGATGATAGGCAGGTATGCAAGAGAGGAGGAATAGTAACATAGAAAAACAGTAGAGTTGAATGTTTTCCCGCCAGCGAGAATGATTTTCAAACATATTACTAATTGTCACCAAGGAGAAAAACCAGTCAGTCTATACCTCCCTATGTGACTGGCTCAAACTAACTGTCAACAATTTCATGGACTAATATCAAGGTTTGGTTTGACCACTGTAAAACACCTATTATTAAGGCCGCCACACTACTTGCTGATTCTTTAGCTTGCCTCACCTAACCTGATGGCCAGACTGTCCTCAACACCCTCCCAACTAGGGAAGGGGGAATTCAACAATTTTAACCGCCGAAAGATATATCTTTTGACGATTATTTGGAGAGAGTGTACAAGTAAGTAGTAATCACCCCACAATGAAGTTGTCAAGCTCATCCCCCTTGAGAATTATCTTGACCACCATGTGTTTCAATACACATGGACAAACATACTGGTCGTTGACGGTGAAATGACTGAGATTCAATTGAGTTGACGATCTTCTATGATTCCATACACCACCACTATCTGTATTCCAACCTAATCAAATGTCAGCTAACATTGTTCATCGAGGAAAGCGATGCGTATCACATGTCCTTACATTTTCTAGGGTTAATCTCATGCTAAACACTTGAAGCAATCTACTCAAAGTGTATACGAGAGAAAAGTCTCTCAGAAAGAAAGCTGAAAACACTTTACAAAAAGTCTATTAAATTTCACTTAAAAATTCGAGGCTTTAAAACTACCTAAAACCCAAAAAATTTCGGAAATTTAATGCTTATTTTGTTGATACGAACTTTGATCAAGGTTTAAGTGAACAGTTCTATAAAAATATAGGCGCCGGGTGTAAAGTAAACATCTAGAAAAAATATATATTTCTTTAAAGCACAGTGAGATGAAAAAAAAGACTCTAACTTAAACAGAATTTATTCAGAGGAATAATCATAATGGAATTACTTGAGTGGTAGCCTGAAAGTTTTCTGTCTTAGTCATCATAGTGTCATAAACATATGCTGATGAAGAGACCTAGATAAAGAGGAAAAAGCTGTTGAATACCACATGCTCCCACCTGTTCTCTTAATGAAACTATTCTTATGCAGATAAAATGGTTATGCATTAACTCTGATACACTGAATAACAGGCCGAACGCTTTCTGAGAGAAGCATCTAAAAAGTAAATTTAGTGTCAAGAAATTTGGCTGACTAAAATTCTAGTCATCACATTCAAATAAATTTACAATGGGAAACTTACGGGATACTTCGAACGGGGAAGATAGGAGTAAGAAAAGCTGACTGCTCACTAGCTTCAATGATTTTCGTGATCGCAGTAGACTGGATAATGCGATAAGCAGCATTCAGTGAGGAAATAGGCATAAAATGAAAGCACAGTAAAATACTTGGAGGATCCGGACTTCACTGGTGATATATGTTTGAATTTTAACACACTGGAAGATATGCAAGTGAAAAGCAACTAGTTGGTAGAAGAAACGTCTAGAGAAGATAGAACCTCAATTCAGGAGAATATAGAGATGACAGAGGTGATGACGATTCCTGGCCAACAACAACAACAACAACAGCAACAACAACAGGCATCAGTCAGCTAGCATAAATGGAGGAAATCTGAAAGGAACAACCTCCTTCACCTATGTACCTACCTGGAAAGCATCATTTCAACCACAGGCGGACAGAACTGCTGAGAATATCAAAGCAAGGATCATTGGGAAATCAAGTCAAGCTTTCATTACTCTAAAGTATGCGTGGAGATCAACAGCACTAGTTAGAATGAAAAACAAGATGTGGATTTTCATCTCTAGGGTGAAGTCAGTGCTACGTACTATACGGATCAGAGACTTGGCACCTAGTCACAAACAGCACTTCGAACAAACTACAGACATTCATCAACAGACTTCTTTGCTCAGTACCACTCAAGATCAGATTATCGGCCAGAAAACATCAGCAACAGGGATCGCTGCGATCCAACCAATACATCAGGACTCAATTGTTCAACAAATATGTAGGAAGAAATGAAGGTAGACTGGTTGGCCTTGCTCTGAGAAAATAAACTATGAAGTAGCATCGCACGCCAGGCCATTGCTCGAGTGTAAACCAAATGGGAAGCGGCGAGTTGATCGTCATTGTGAGGGTAACATTGAGGAGAGGGAGGTGATGTGAAGAGGAGATGAAAGCATGTGAGTAGACGTGTAACGAGGTGAAAACGTTTGCGGACAACTGGATGCAGTAGAGA